AATATGAATTTATAAGAAAAAGACATGCCAAACCAACGTATTTTTTTTTGCTTTATTTTCAGTTTTATAATTACTACTGGATTAGAGAATGTTGTATCTTGACTTTAGCCAAGTGGTTGACAGTTTCCTTAACTATCCCTGTGAAAATATGAAATACTGGTAATGAGATTGATTTACAGCTCCTTGCCTGGCCAACCCATGCCAGCATACCCAGGGTTTAGATAAATAATAGTTACTTTATATACTGATTCCTCACAGGGAACTTGTGGTGAATATTAATTTGCATATATTCAGAAAGTATGGATTTGTAGTTATGAGGTTTTTTTTTAATAAGGATTTTTATGTTGAAACTTGAGTACCTGGATTTATTCATGATTGAGATTTCTGTTATGGATTTTTTTCAATCAAGCTGTATTTGTAAAATATATAAATCTGTTTTTAATTTACATATGTCACCTTGACTTATAAATTACTTAGAAGTCAAGGCATAATATTAGTATTTAGAGCAAAGTCTGGCTATGTTAAGAATGCTAACATTATGAAGAATCTTTTCTTTGTTCAATAACAACTATATTAAGCCCACTTGGATGTTTTTCATACCCTTGAAATGTCATTCCTGTGAACAATCCCTAAACAAAAGGCAGATGTTCATATACTACTTGATAACACAGATATTCTCAGCAATGTGCTTTTGAGTTAATGTGTCTGTTGGGCTTCTGGTAATCCCACAGTCAGCTGCCTGTTCAAGATATTTACATGCATTTTTAAAAAATACAGATTCCCTGGAATCATATCAAAGAGAGAAACATATATTTTGTCCCCTTAGGAAGTTCTTTTGGCAGTCCGTGATGACTGCTGCATTCAGTATATTTTATTATTAATTGTTACTTTTTTTTCCCATTAGAAATTCCAAGATGATTATATTACAGAAATCTAATTTTAATTTGTAAATACTCCAAGTTCAGTAAAAAAATATTATTTCTATTTGGATTGCATTACAGTGGTATCAACATTTCTTAATTAGCACTGTTCGGGCCGGGCGCGGTGGCTCAAGCCTGTAATCCCAGCACTTTGGGAGGCCGAGGCGGGTGGATCACGAGGTTAAGAGATCGAGACCATCCGGGTCAACATGGTGAAACCCCGTCTCTACTAAAAATACAAACAATTAGCTGGGCATGGTGGCGCATGCCTGTAATCCCAGCTACTCAGGAGGCTGAGTCAGGAGAATTGCCTGAACCCAGGAGACGGAGGTTGCAGTGAGCCGAGATCGTGCCATTGCACTCCAGCCTGGGTAACAAGAGCGAAACTCCGTCTAAAAAAAAAAAAAAAAAAAAAAAAGAAATAGCACTATTCACTCATGAATCAACAGAATGAAAATAACTTGAAAGACTATTTTATAACCAGCACAGTTTAAAAAATATACAGTGTTAATTTTAGCTACATACAGTTTTCATTTATGCTTTAAAACTTTCAATTATTGCCATTTAAATATTTCTTTGGCAGTCAAGTCATAAGTGTAAAAAAGGAGTAAGAAATCTACTTTGTTAATAAATGAAAAGTTTGTTGAATAGTAAAGCTGTGCTATTTTTGGCGACATTTATGTTTATATTCAGTTGATTGTCATTATAATTCATTATAATTGCTTCAGAGTTAAATAACACCATTTAAACTATGGGCTAATTTCCTTTACTGCCATAGTTAAGCATAATTGCTTCTTAAGCTTTGTGTACACTTATCTGAAAGTATGACCTGACTTTCAGTGTTTTCTCAGAAGCAGTTCATCTCGCCCCTGTGTATTTCACAGATAGAGTCTGGATCACTGTCCTCAGAGATGGACAGTTCTACAGCCTTGAACAAAATCTGAATAGCTTTAGAATTTTTTTTAATTGTATTTTAGGTTTTGGGGTACATGTGAAGAACATGCAAGATAGTTGCATAGGTACACACGCTGCAGTGTGATTTGCTGCCTTCCTCCCCTTCACCTATATCTGGCATTTCTCCCCATGCTATCTCTCCCCAACTCCCCACCCCCCTAATTGTTACTTTTAAAGAATGCAAACCCATAGTTAACTTAGTAAACTTTCATCATTTATATTTTTTTGATGCTTGTAATATTTTGTCTCTAGCCTCAAAAAAGTGTGATGACTTTTTTGAATACTTGCAGATGTTTACTTAAAATATCACACCTATTTATTTGTTGATTTTTGAGAGTCTCTGTTGCCCAGGCTGAAGTGCAGTGGTACAATCTCGTCTCACTGCAACCTCCGCCTCCCAGGTTCAAGCAATTCTCCTGCCTCAGCCTCCAGAGTAGCTGGGATTACAGGCACGCACCACCACAACCTGCTGATTTTTGTATTTTTAGTAGAGATGGGGTTTCACCATGTTGGCCAGACTGGTGTCGATCTCCTGACCCCGGGTAATCCAACTGCCTCAGCCTCCCAAAGTGCTGGAATTATAGGCCACCGCACCTGGCCAAAATATCACACTTACAAAATTGTCCCTCATACTTTTCTTTGCAATGATTCATCTTGGTATTACATCCAGAATCCCAGTAGAAGTGAAGGGTGAAAAAAGAGTGCAATTCCAGCCTTGGCCTCTCAGTCTTAAGATCTTAGAGGCCCTTAAAACAAGAATTGAGTTGTTTCAATTATTTTCCCGTAAGAGACCCATTATGCTGTATTTATGATTTTATTATGGCTTTGTCCTTAATTATACCTAATTTAATGGCTGTCATTTTATAGATTAAAATGCAATCTGAGTTTTTAGCATTTTATGGTTATCTTTGTAAGTTATACCATATCTAACAGTAAAGCTTCCAGTTAAAAAAAAAAAAGGTAATCTTGAGTTAATAAAGTGTTGAGTCAGACTGTCTTTTTAAATTATTCATGTATTATCTTTTATCCAAATTAAGTCTTTTTCTGAAAACATGTTGTATAGCAGATATATTGGAGCCTACATTATGTTATTTTTAAGTGGGGAAAAAACAATGATGCATTCTCTGTCCATTCAAAAACCCTAACCAAACTTCCCCAAATATCACAAAACACCTTTAGGCAACTATATAGCAATCTGCCAAAACTTTGTATAACATTTACAAAACATTTGAGCCATGTCTTACCTGATTCTAAAAATACTTAATGAATTTATTATTAAGTATATTTTTGTTCAATAAGCAATGAAACTGTACAGTATTGATTATAAATTAGCATTGTCTTCTATCCAGCAGCAGATAGTATAGTGTACTATTCTGTATTATAAATTTTAAAAATGAAATAACATGATTTTTATCTAAGGTAGAGTTGTGTTAGTGGGATTTCCTAAACACTTAATAGAAACAACCTCTGTTACCAGAGATTGTTCTGTGTTCATCCTGGTAAATATCTTCAGGTTTATTAAAATCACAAAGGGTCCCCCTTTCCTCAGCATCTATTTTTGGCAAGACAAAAGAAGGACTTTTTAGAGTTTGTATTTATTAGTTTAGGATCTGAATATGTTTGCTGAACTTTCAACACACACTGATTTCCTGCTTACATTAACATCTTCTTGCATAGGTTATGTTCATTTATACATATGAGAAGAGCAAAGGAGGGAATTAGAAATGTCATATACTATGGAATATAGTTAAAAGAATGAGTTGATTTATAGTATTTGGTTTATCTAACCTTGTTCTAAGTATGTTGCTCTAAATAAAACAGCATACTTTAATCAACTATATTTATTCAGTAAAATAATCTATTTTGTCTTAGCATTGATTTTTTCTAATTATCTGAAGCCTTGTCTAATGAATAATGGTTTGGACTGCTTGGATTTTCATTTTAAGTTCAACCCTTACTATAAATTCATTGCTATCAGATTTCTGCAATCCTGTGTTTTCTGCTTAATATTTCTTTGAGAGCCCTTATATTCCTCTTTTATTTCCCATTTTCCCCACAAATAGTAGAAAATCTTTGACTTTCTTATTTATTCACATTATATCTAGGAGTCAAACAAGTGGACAGAAAATGCCTGTTCAATCTAGTAATAGGCAGAAGACCCTAAGGTAGGGCAGTTTGGCCTTTTTGAAGATCAGAAAGATGGCCAAGCATAGGTGGAGCAGTGTTTGAGAATGGGGAAGTGACCAAAATAGGATCAGAGATGGCCAGAGCCAGAACATGTAGGGCCTACAAGAATTTTAGATTTTGTTCCAAGTACAAGATTTCTTGTGGGGCCCCAAACAGAGTAGTAATTGTTAGATTTATGTTTTAAATTTTACTCTGGCTGCTAAATGGTGGGTAGCAGGAAGGAGGCAAGAATAGATGCCGATTAGAAGGCTGGGGCAGAATTCCAGATGAGGAATCAGTGGTGGCTTAGATTCGGGTGGTGGAAAAGGAAATGGAGAGAAGTCAAACGTGTCTTGGAAGAACTGACAAAAGTTGCTGATGGGTTGGATCTGGATGGGTAGAAGTGAAAGGAGAAATCAAGGATGATTTCTAGATTTCGAGATTGTTTTGCAGGTTGATGGTGCCTTCTACAATAGGGAAGATGTCGGGGAGGAAACATTGCGGGCAGGTAGAAGTAAAAGTTCTGTTTTGGCTATCTGAAACTCGAGGTGCTTATTTGACTTCCAAATATATCTGCAATATATGTGGATCAGTTTGATGAATTTAGAGCCTGGCAGAGGTAGATCAAGGATGGAGACATGATATGAATATGTAAGTTATCATTATGTAGATAGTATTTAAAGCCATGGGCTAAATGAAATTACTCTGAATATTTGTCATCTCTCTGACCTGTACCTTCTCCCTCTCTTACCATGTAAAATTATTCTCACATTATTTTACAGGTACATAGTTTAATTATAGTACCTTTAAATAATTTGGTGTTATTTTATTTTTAGTAAAATATTCTGATTCCTTTATCCTGTTATAGCTAACTGGTTTAAGAGTATTCAGTTACTAGCTTCTGTATTTAAATGAACATCTAAAAATGCATTTCTTTTTTTTTTTTTGTCTTTGCTCCAGGCAAAGTCATTAATAAAGATTTGCGACATTACCTAAGTCTTCAGTTTCAAAAAGGATCAACTGACCACAAACTGCAGCAAGTGATCAGAGATAATCTCTACTTGAGAACCATTCCATGTAAGTATGTGATGGGATAAAACAAACTGAGGCAGAAATGTCCTTTCTTAATAATTAAACATCTAAAGATAGTTTGATGGAGTATTTCACATGAAATTGTGAGGACTAAGTTGGGAACAAGAATGAAACAAAAACTGGATAAGAAGAAAAATTTTCAGAGAACTTGAAAGGTTTTGTTTATAAAAGTAGAAAAACCGGGCCAGGTGCAGTGGCTCACACCTGTAATCCCAATACTCTAGGAGGCCAAGGCAGGTGGATCACTTGAAGTCAGGAGTTCGAGACCAGCCTGGCCAACATGGTGAAACTTCACCTCTACTAAAAATACAAAAATTATCCAAGTGTGGTGGTGGGTGCCTGTAATCCCAGCTATGAGGGAGGCTGAGGTAGGAGAATCACTTGAACCCGGGAAGAGGAGGTTGCAGTGAGCCAAGGTCACTCCAGCCTGGGCAACAGAGCAAGACTGTCTCCGAAAAAAGTAAAAAGTAGAAAAACTGGAAGATTCCATATTGTGACTTTTTAAAAAAGTGATGACTAGAATTTAGGAATATATATTTACATGTTGTTAACTAGATTTTATTCCTGTAAATCAATTTGTAAAGCCTGTGAAGTAAGAGGACTTTTTAGCCCCCAGTGCCTTGTATACCAATAACAAGTATTTTATTTGAACATTATTTTAAAATAATTTCAAAATCTGTCCCTTCCCCAACCAAAAATAAAAAAGGAAGGAAAGGAACTCTCTCTTACTTGGAATAATTTTTTTTCTTTCCCTCCCTGGCTGCCTCCTTTTCTACCTTCCTTCAACAAATACCATTATGTAGTGGCAAAGAGCTGCGTAAAATTGAGTTCAAAGTCTTGACTCTAGCATCTTACTAGCTACTTTATTTGGACAAGTTACTTAATGTTCCTGATCCTCAGAGGCTCTATATATAGAATTAGAATAACAAGACTCACCTCAAATAGCTGTTGCTAGGATTTAAAATGAGAGCATGTGTGTAAACTGTTTGGCCTAGAGTAGGCACTCAAGCAGTGTTTGTCCCCTTCTTCCATTCTGACTGGATCTCTTGTCTCTCATTTCACCTCAATTCAATTGATTTTTAAAGTAAACATTTCTCAGCACTATAGGAAAAGGAAAAAAATTAAAAAACAAAGTGGACCTGTGATTGTTGTCCCTCTATAGTTTATCCGTCAAAAATTTCCACTGACAAAGTTCAGACTCCTTAGCATTGTATAAAATATTTTTTTAATTGCATTTTAGGTTTTAGGGTACATGTGAAGAACATGCAAGATAGTTGCATAGGTACACACGTGGCAGTGTGATTTGCTGTCTTCCTCCCCTTCACCTATACTTGGCATTTCTCCCCATGCTATCTCTCCCCAACTCCCCACCCCCTGCTGTCCCTCCCCTAGTTCCCCCAACAGACCCCAGTGTGTGGTACTCCCCTCCCTGTGTCCATGTGTTCTCATTGTTCAACATCCGCCTATGAGTGAGAACATGCAGTGTTTGATTATCAGTTCTTGTGTCAGTTTGCTGAGAATAATGGTTTCCAGATTCATCCATAACCCTACAAAGGACACGAACTCATTGTTTTTGATGGCTGCATAGTATTCCATGGTGTATATGTGTCACAATTTCCCTGTCCAGTCTGTCATCGATGGGCATTTGGGTTGGTTCCCGGTCTTTGCTATTGTAAACAGTGCTGCAATGAACATTCGTGTGCATGTGTCCTTATAGTAGAACGATTTATAATACTTTGGATATATACCCAGTAATGGGATTGCTGGGTCAAATGGAACATCTAAAATTTTTTTGTTTTTAATTTGCTTTCTTATATGTGATTTCCTCCTACAAATCTACCTCATAGCTGCAGATTGCTACTTCTGCCTTTATCTCAATTTGTATTTGCCTGGTGTGTCTTTGTCCGTCTTACTATTCTTAAAGTCATCTCTGGATCTCTGTTTTACAAATAGTTCTGGACTTTACTCAGTAGCCAGTGTGAAACTTTTAAAATTTTTATTGATCTGATCAATATCTTTAGCCTCAGTTCTGTCATGGTTTTTCTATTTACCATATATAAGCCTTTTGTATGAAAAGCCTTTCACTATGTAGTCATTTTATTTGATCTCTCTCTTTTTAGGATGGTTTGTAGAGATCTTTTTATAGTGTTCACTTTTATATCTTTATATAATACTCTTTGTTCCTCCTTCTCTTATTTTTTTTGCTTTTGTCCCTACTTTGAGTAACATTAAAATTGTTTAGTCATCTCTTCTTCTTCCTTTTCTCCCATCATCTGACTTGAAGTAATATTTCTTTATTCCTACGAAATATAAGGAAATTAGTAAGCTTATTTCACTTTGTATATGCTTTCCTCATTCTTACCCTATGTATTTTTTTTGATAATTGGGCTGATTCTACATTAGCTAAGCAAGCAGCCATTGCATTACTCTGCTTTCCTTCTTGATAATCATTATTTATCTTTTATTCTGTGGGTAAATACATATTTATTATAACCACCAATCCTTATGTTGTTATTTTTCATTAACTGTAGTTGTCTAAAGCTGTTTCTTTACTCAATATCCCAGCAAAGGCTCACAGGATGATCGTAGGAGTTTGTTTGTGGCCTTTATACTTTGATGTTTGTGTGGATGGATATTAAAGTTTTGACTTATTTTCATTCCTCGACTATCTTAAATATATTAAGCAATGATCTAATTATTTTCTGGCAAAGCATTGCTCTTAAAGAGTTTGTAACAATCGAATTTTCATTCCTTTGTAAGTAACTTGATATTTTGCCTGCATGGGATGTCCCATTTTTAGTTTCATAGCTCTAGAGCTTCCTCTTGCCTTGTTAAAACAAGATAATAAAAATATGTGCTTGTACTTTCTAAGATAGGTCTTTATTTTATTGCCCTCTGCCACTTTCACTTAAGTTTTTCTTTTAATTTTATTGTTCCAGTTTTGCAGTTTGCTTAGTGTGAGGTTTTGTCCTATAAGGGAGTTAAAATTTATTTTGTTTCAGTTCAGCAGAATTTTGTTTCAGTTTAGCTGTAGCCCTTTTAGATTTCAATAGGACCTCTTATACACAAATTGAAGTATCCAAAGCTCCCTCTAGGAACCTAGACACAATGACACACCAGTAGCAGTTAGCATACTGAAGGGTCACATCTGGTCTCTAAATATCATACTTTCCTAAAAAGTTCGATGTCTACTTGGAGATAATTCTGATTCTAGGTCTGGAACAAGGAAAGTAGAAGATGAACTTTGGAGCATCTAAGTGTACCAGAAAGTATATAGTATTTAAAAAATTATATAGACATATCAGAAGGACATAGAAGCCACCTGGAAGAGATGCTTACTGGCAAAAATCTGAGACAATTTGAGCAATGACATTGACAAAAGAGGGCATTTCTACTATTGTCAGATATTGAGCTGAAGATGAAACAGGACTATGATCCCTGAGAGAAGAAGAAAGAAGACCACACACAGAGGAATCCTATTATTTCCTCAACTTTCTACTTAGAGACACTTTTTAGAGCACAGCACAGGGAGGGAGAGTTCAGGCAGAATACAATGGACTGTGAGTTGAAGGGACAGAAATCTCAGTTCAGGAAGCTTGAGATATCTAGAATTTGCAGGGCAGAATGTCACAGAGGAGAGAGCTATGAAATAAAAAAGCTCAAGCAATCTGTAAACCCCCTTAAGTGTACCGAATAATAAGCTGAGAATATGTAGGATCTGACTCTTCAAGGTTAGACCAAAAACTCTCTGTGAGTTGTAAGTTTAACAATTCTCAGAGCTTACCCAGGGCCAGGAGACATTTGAGTTCTAACTAGCTTGGTGGAGGAATCCCATAACGGTCCTGCCTTATTAGCAGGGCTAAAATAGCCACAGATAAAGCTCTTCTAGGCCTGCTTTAACAAAGCTTAATTAAACAGGACCCCAAAGGATCAAGTGAATACGCATGCCACATAACTGCTAGCAAAAAAGGAAGAAAGAAGGAAAGAAGTTAATCAATACTCTTTAAAGAAAGACAATAGCCGGGAGTGGTGGCTCACACCTGTAATGCCAGCACTTTGGGAGGTCAAGGTGGGCACATCACGAGGTCAAAAGATCAAGACCATCCTGGCCAACATGATGAAACCCATTAGCTGGGTGTGGTGGTGCACACCTGTAGTCCCAGCTACTTGGGAGGCTGAGACAGGAGAATCACTTGAACCCATAAAGTGGAGGTTGCAGTGGGCCAAGATCACGCCACTGCAGTCCAGCCTGGTGACAGAACAAGACTGTGTCAAAAAAGAAAGAGAGAGAGAGAGAGAGAGAGAGAGAGAGACAACAAAATGGAAACATTGTGTAATAAAATATTCAAAATGTTCAGCATCTAATAAAAAATTACTAGACATGTAAAAAAGCAGGAAAATGTGATCCATAATCAAAAGAAAAGTCAGCTCATAGAAAAAAAGAAACAGAAATGACACATGATGGCATTACTATATCAGGAATTTTAGTTATTAGAAATATGCTCAAGGATTTAAAGAACAATGTCAACATAATGAAGAGAAAAATTATATATATAAATATTCATGTGTGTGTGTGTGTGTGTTTATACATATATGAATTAAATGGAAGCTTAAAATTCACTGAATGGACTTTAACAGGAGATTCAAAACTGAAGAAGAAAAGATCAGTGAACCACATAGCAATATAAACTAATATCAAACTGAAACACAAAGAAAAACATAGCTTAAAAAGTGGATCTTTTTTTTTTGGAGCCACCAAATGACAGTGGGGAGGGGAGGGATTTCTACTTCTGCCATGAAGTTCCAGTATCATAACTAGTACTAGATTGACCCTCTTGTCATAAGCAACTAGAAATTGGACAAGGAATATTTAACAGCTGTTTTTAGATATTGAAATATAGGCAGATCAAGACTATGATGAATTTATATTTACTGACCACAAACTATGAAGCCAAAGTGGAGGAAAGAGAAAAAATACTTAAAGA